CGGAATGGCGAAACAAAGCGATCGCTATCATGACTGCGCGGCTGATTGACCACATAGATAATCATATGATAGCGAGAAATCCTACAAGTGCTGTACATCTCAGCGTGCACACTCGAGTAGATAGAGGTGCTCGGACGTACGTCCAGTCGCCTAAGAACGGACCTCCTTGGGACCATGTGGAACGCCGGGTGACGATGAACCTCGACCACAAACTTCGACGACAGTACTATGATACAGGATATCAAGGTTCAGGACTAACCTACCGGATGCAGTTGCAATGCTCCGTTGCCGAGTGGAGTAGCTAACATCAGTGCTCGACTTTACTGGGAGCCTCCGGCCCCAGCCATGCTCAGCAACGAGGGGCAGCGACCGCGCCCGAGGCGAGTTGCGACCGTCGATGGCGATCATCTGCCTCCCTCCTCGAATGAGCGTGGCCGCGCGCTACCCCCTATTCCAGAATTTCCAATATTTCCTGAACCTCAACACTGAGCAACAACAGACAGCACTACCTACTGATGCCCAGATAGTTCAGAAAGAAAAGCAGAAAGCTGACAAAGGAGCCGGCATCAAACCACGCAAGATACCCAATAATGTCGAAGATGGTAACGACGATTGCGGCGAGGACCTGAAGGGCCCTGGATGTGGAGCATGCTACGCTGATGTTCCTCTGGACTCTGACAGCGATGAGGATGAGGAAGTCTTCGTGGCGCTACCAGCGGAGTTACCTTCGGACACGCGTACTGATGTGTTGTACATAATCACAACCTTGTGTTACGGGCAAAACCACAAGGCAGACGTCCTGGAATTGTGCGGAGGTAGCGGGGGAATGCTACAATTAGCCCCCAGCCGAGGTTTATCCTCATGGGGGTAACATCGACAAGTGTTCTTACGTTGGCCGTGTTAGCAAGGAAGTTCAGGATGCAGTAATGCATTAGTTGGAATTTTGTTTTGTGGAGCTGTGTATCCAACAACCTAACTCCAGAACGACTCGACTACCTTCTTATTTCAACGCAAAGGTCAATTATGACACGTGGTATGAACATCACAAGGGGTACCTTCTACGCATCAAGTTTTATGGAAGGGCCGCCGTGCGTCGAGACGATCTTCGGCGGTTCTACCTACGAGAACAGCCAGTGGGTATTTGGGTGGGTGAAATACCACCATGGACGACACTGGCTAACGCGAGGGCGCTCGCAAGGTCAGCATGGATCAGTGCACCACGGGCCTTCGTGACTCCCATGGTGTATGAAAGCGTACATCTATTGAGATAAACCTTTCGTTATTTACGCCCTTTGAGAACAAACGGTGCACGGGCCATCGCCAACATGCTTCGGTTTGCCACAGTGACTTGGCCAAGGCAGCCCAGTGCAGTCCTCATATTCAATCCCTCTTCGTTGAAGCAGTTCAATTTGCACATGGCATGCTCGCATTTAATCGTCATCTCTTTCGTGATCACCCTCATGCGTCATCTGCCTTTTCACGAACGCAGACGGGTTCGATTTTGATGATCCATCGATCTCTCGACACCCTGACGGATGTATCATGCGACCGCCATCGGGGGGATGGGGCTGTCCTGCATGTGCTGATAACGTCTACATGCGCTCCCCATGATGGTAGAGACCCCTGAACACTGTAGGTGGTACGACAAAGAAGATTACGACTGGGAGTGTTCAAACTGCAAGAAGAACAATGGCAAGGCTGTGCCTGGCGACTTACCTACACCTGGCGAGTGTAAGTTTACCAAACCGTGGAAGCCGCCTGACGACCGCGGACATGGACTTCCAGCCCCTGTTGAACCGGCAGCCCCACCACCTGCTGCGACAGCTGCTTCCGAGGCACCAGCCGCCAAACAAGTGGCGCGGTTACGAGCTCCGAAGCCTGGCTCCAGAGCTGGACCGACAGCAGGCGCCAGCAGCCACGACATCGCAGTAGGCAGACATGCTGCTGAACCCACTCCAGTAGGCAGGCATGCTGCTGGGCCGAGCTCGGACGACCGCAGACGACTACCACGGATAGTGGCCAGACGTGGGCGACAAGAGGGAGGTGATCCACCTCCACCACCACCTGCGTGTGACGACCCTGCTTCTCGTCCAAGGCTTGCAGACTGGTCAAGGTTCGACGTGCAAGTCAGTCTACAGAACTTACGAAGCGTTGACCTAGGCGTGGTAACGCGCGAGTTACGAAGATTACGTCTGCGGTGGTTCCACGCCAAAGAGCCTAAGATGATACTCATCTTAACCAAGGTTGGTCTGGACAGCAGGAGGCCAAACTTGATAAAAAAGGCGTCTGTGATACATGCCGGGGGTGCAGGGCTTGGGAAAAGCCTGGGAATACTATCAGGTATTTGACATAATCGACGGTTGCATTCGACGCGGTGCTGGAATCGAAATACAGTATAAAACTATGACCAGCATTTTTGATGCGTATCATCTGTGCTGGATGCAGTTCGGACCTTCCAAGGTACTTTACTATGACGGAGAAGGTGCTATCAATGATGACGCCGCAAAGGCAGTCCTTGAGGCAAAGGGCATTGAGCTGAGGATACGCGCGCGTGGACAACCCGCTACGACTAGTAAAGCCAGAAGTGGCATACTACGACGCGTACTTCAGGTCATGGATGCTGTGATCAATCGGTTAGACATGCACTTTGTGTTCACCCGGCTATTGCATGAGGCTCTGTTCGCCGCCGACTTGTTTACTCTCTTTCATGAGGTATCTCCATGCAACGCACTGTTTGGCCGACAGCCTGCGATGTTACCTGACTTGCCTGGTCTAGACCGCGAACGACAGACGGAGACACCAGACCATGCTCGAGAACAGATTAACCGCCGGGTATGTAGTGAGTCTATCACCCAAGCCACCGCAATAGCTAACACGAACCGTGCACTACGGACCATGACGACCATCACTGGTCAGCATTGCTATGACGAAGGAAATTTTGTTGACTACCATCGTCCCGCTATTACGAAAGACGATTGTGATGGCTGGAATGGGCCCTTCCTGGTCGCGCGGAATGATCCCGACAGGGGTCAAGTTATCATGGGAGTTGGGAACCGCGATGTTTAAGTTCAGTGCGGTGACGCACGATGCCCACTGTACATTGAAGCTCTGATCACTCGGGAGATGGGCTCGGACAGCGCAGCATTGCAGACTTTGTTGGCATTCGTAGCATGTCTACCAGCGGGGCGACCTGCCATGACCTTTGGATACGCCCCGACCAAACGGGAGTGTTCCTTATGACGAGCGCGAGCCGATTATCTCCTAAGGTACACTTGCAAACATCATGACTTCGAGGTACGTCTATAGACTGAGGTTCCTCAAGCACGAAAAGGGCGAGATGGAGCGTGCCGTCTCATTACGCTAGTTACTGCGGGGTTCATGGACCTCGAAGCCTCCGGTGTGGAAACGTTCTCAGTGGCGGCGCGGCGGTCAAGCCGGCGATTGCTCGCCAGTGCGGCAGCGTGCAGGAAGCAGTGGATCATTGCGTCCTTCGACATCAACGTGGCTTTCCTGACGGGACTGACGTATCAGGCGCTTGCTGAAGCAACCGGTGAAAAGGAACGTGTGGTGTGTTATGCACTGCCACCTCGTTCAGCATCGTTGCTCAGATCCGTCCCAGGATTCGAGCGCCAGGACTAGTCGAGACACTATTTGCAGTGCCTCAAACCAGGTACTGGTACCAAGGATGCACCGAGAGCCTTCTCACTGAAGCTCAGTCGGACCACGAGAGGCTTTCGTCTTGAGCCCACGTCCCACGACTAGGAATTCGAGACGACCTACCCTTCTTACTGTCAGAAATGTTGATGACATAAGCATGGCCGGCACCGAGGACACCGTCGAGAAGTGCGTGAAGTGTGCTGAGGGCACTTTTGGGATGTGTGCATTCAACAAACACTCATGTACCAACTATGCCGTGAGATATGCGAAGGACAGCGACGGCACTGTTACTCTTGACCAATATGGATACATGCGAGCTCCGTCCTTTCCAGCATCGCGAACGCACGGGTGCAGATGCTGAGGCCAAGGCGTCGAATGTGGTTGCAGACATGTTTGTTGGCGTCAGAGGTGCTTTGGCTTACCCAAAGAAGTTGCAGGCCTGCCCGAAGAAGATCGTCTATCAGGCGGTGACGCCAACGGGCGAGGTAGACCCGCGCAGCGACTCCGGCTACCGGCGTCTGAGCGGAGATGCCGATGACGAAATCAGAGGCTATGGTATCCGCGGGGCAAACCTGCTAAGGCGTGGGCGCGCGCGTGCTGGTGGACCCGTCGTCCATCTTGTCGACGCGCACTGCAAGTCCCATCGCTTTCAGGTCCGCCCGAGCTAGTCAGCGGAAACACTTGCAGCGGCCCGCGACTTGGAGGACTGCTATCCCACGATCGTCATTCTGCGCGACGTCCGCGCAGGGCCGCCGACGCCCACTCAACTGAAGGATATAATTTAGATGGGCGGCCTGAGCAATAGGGTCGCTTTGACCATTGATGCAGAAGATGTCTTCAAGTCCTTGTCATGCACAGACCTGAAGAAGCCGACTGAGTGTGCACTTTTGGGACACACTAGATGCGACAAATGATGGAGCGAGGCATCGTGCATTGTGTGCAGTGGTGTGACACTCGCAATATGACTGCGGATGGCCACGCCGAGGGGGGCATCGACAGAGACATGCTCCTACAAGTCATGGGGGGAGTGCAATCCTTCAAGCGATACCTGAAACGACGCGCTCTCGACAGGGCTGGCCAGGCGAGATCATCTGATCCAGCTGAGGAGTAGTTATCTGCAGGGTAACTTGCCTGCGAGTTAACTTGCCTTCAAGGTAACTTGCATGCGGGTCAACCTGCCTCTGTTGAACCCGCCTGCTGCTGCCGACCTAGTGTATTCTAGTGTTTTGCTGGATAGATGGCGGCGGACTCGCGCTTCGTTTCCTCCCCCCCGAGTCTAAAGGAGGTAGGGCAGAGGCGAGATGTAGCGAACGTTTGTCCGCGGCCGTTTGTGTTCAAGCGGCCGGCCGCTAAGATTTGAGTGTGCCTCACCGCGAGGCACACTATTTGCCATTCGGACCGACAACATCTTCGCCTGACATGACTCGTCGCTCCTGCGACTTTCTCCTGCCCTTGGGACTATCGGTACTACGGTATAACAGAGCTGGATACAGGCTTCGCTTTAGGCGAAGCGTCTGTTTGGGCCTCCCGACCAGCTTCAAAGTGACGGTGCCGTCGCGCACGTGGGCGATCTGGACAGAGACGCGTTCAATGGCGACGCCAGCAGGGTCGTGCTCGGCATCTGCATCTCCAAGTGCGGGGGCGCCAGCAGCAATGTGAACGGCGCCGAGGCCGCCTCGCTGCTGCGCGACGTCGCGGACCGTGTCCCAGGGTATGGCGGCGCCTTCTTCTGGACCGCTGATGGCGACGTCAATTTCGCTTGGTCTTCCTCAGTTCGGCTTGAGTGTGACGTTTCGACCGCCGGCCACGACGCTGGCGCCGGCCACGACGCGAAGCTCCGCGCCCGTGCCGACCGCGTCGTCGACCACCACGTTGGCGCCGACCGCGACGTCGAGCACCATCCCTTCGCCGAACACCTCGTCGACCAGCGCGCAAAGCTCCATTGCTGCGACCGCCCCCTCTCGTTGCCTGGGCCGCAGCAGCCTGCTGCGCGGCAGTTGCCTCGCCGACAACGATAACGGCTGCTGCGACCGGCCAGCGCCTCGGTGCGACGGCCATCCGCAGCGCAAGTGGTGCGGCGCTTCGCTCGCGCAGTCGTCCAGGGCCGCCGTGCAGAAGCATGCGCTCCCGGGCTTGGTGCAGTCTTCGGCGCAGATTTGGCGGCCCGCTCCCGCTGCCGAGGAGCTCTGAACGTCAGACCCGTTTGATTAGTTGGTGGCCGCGACGCCGTGGGGGGCGCGCGCCTTGACCCCGCGCGGTGCGCCGAAATGTGGCGGGGCGCACGACTTTGACGCCGAGGTTCTGACCTCGACGCGGACGGCTGCCAGATTTTGCGCGAGCCCTCTCCTGACCAGTTGACCTGCATCAAGTGCAGCTGCGTATTGCGCGCGTTCTCCGGCGCGTTGTTCCCCCGGTGGGGTGGATCTACCGCGCCGTGGTCTCGTCCCGCCTGGGCTACGGTAGGTTTGCGTCGTGTCGACCAGCGGCGACCCCAGCGCGGGCGTTCAAGGTTGAATGCCGGCGGCGACCCAGAATCGGTCGATGTTGAACGATTGGGCGAAGCGGAAGCGGCCGATCGTTCAAGGTTGAACGATCCAGCACGATGTCGGGAATCAACGCCGGAGTCGGCACGACACGAACCTGCAGTAAACACTCGCTGTGTGACCACGCCAGACAGAGAGGGCAGACAAAAAGGGTTCCTTCGCTCGCCAAGCCAGTCTCTGCGCTCTCGGGCCGTCCTGGAGGCGACTCGCAGGCGGGCCGGCGTAGTAACTGCAGAGGTGTTGGGGTGTTTTGTTCCTTTGGGGGCATTCAGGGCCCTGGGGGGAGCTCCGGTCTGTGGAGGACTCGGGAGGCCCTGGGCGGGGCCTTTTTCGATCCGATCGATCCGGATCGGTACCAATCTCGGCCAATTCGATCCAATTCCACTTGCAATTGATTTCGATTTCCCGGGGATCCGATGCGGCCCGATGCTTACGTGGCCTTGTTGTGCATCCGTGTGCAGCCGATCTGGTTCGAATTCGATTCCGTGCCACTGCGGTCCGATCCGACGCATACTCCCGTTTCGATCCGAGTTCCCGATTCGATGCTGATCGATCTTGCTTCGGTCGGGGACGCCCAGACGGTGTGGTGACCACACTGTGGCCAGTCAGTGGAGATTCGCGGTCGACGCACGGTTTTTGGGACCTGGGTCGTTCTCCGAGGACGGCTCGGTTTCTGCTTTTCATCCCATTGCCCCCGCCTTTCCCTCGCCTCGTTCCCCCTCCGCATCGTGCAGGAAGCGGGGGCGTGAGCAACTTCTTGGGCGGTTCTGCCGAGGAGCTCGCGGGCGGAGGAGGTGAAGGAGGAGGAGTAGGAGGAAGAGGAGAAGGATGAGGAACTGGAGGTGGGGGAGGAGGAGGACACGTGTCAACCCAAGATTCACCAACGATATTGCAATAGACCCTCTTTCCACGCTCCCTCTTCATAGACTCACACGGATTCGTTTCCACATGGAAATGCCCCATTGGAAGACAACTATTTGAAGCTCCAGAATTGTGACATAACGCCATTTTTGGACATCAGCGCCGCGAATCACTGGTACTGTTGCGCTTTGATGCTCCTGAATCGTGCCAAAACACCATTCCTGAGACTTCCATGTTGCGGATACAAGTGACTGTTGCGCTCTGACATTCTGACATCGTGCCAAAACACCATGCGAGGCCCTGACCATGCGAAGCCCTGACCAGGATGCAAACTTTTGCGACTAATGTGCGTGGCGCCAAGACGAGAACCACATTTTGAAAAGGAGCTGCGTTCCTTCCGTGAATCTCTTGCAAGCTTTTACAATGATTGTGCGCGGCGCTAAGGTGAGAGGCACATTTTGAAAAGGAGCCGCCCTACGTCCATGAAGCCATTGCACAATTTCAAGATGAATGTGCGCGGCGGTAAGGCGAGAGCTACATTTTGAAAACCACCCGCCCTCCATCTGTGAAACTGTGCTCAGTGTTTAAGCTTCAGGGTTATACGTGGTGGGAAGTCTCAGGCGAAACGTCCGGCCCGCCCTTTAGACGTGCGACAGGGAGGAGGAGGAGGAGGAGGAGGAGGAGGATGATGATGAGGAGGAGGAGGAGGAGGAGGATTGTCACGGATGTACCCTTAGGCCGTGGGTCAGGCCGATGCGAGAAACCTGCCACGCGGCCTAAAGCGGGGGGCGGAGGACAGCAATGATATTGAGGTGCTTAGTGAGGAGCACCGGTCGATGCTCCACCTCTCTATCGCCTTCTCTGTCCACCGCCCCCTCCTCACCCTATGGCCTCTGGTGATCTGGTCAAATCCGGGCTCCTACAGGGTGGCATCCCAAGTCGGGGAAGCGAACTTGCCTCCGCAGTGGTCCGCACACATACTGAATCTGTAGCCGTGCACTGCCCAGCGGTTCCCCTCAGGGGAGCAATCGGACCCTTAATGAGTCCACGCGCCTCCCTGCCGCTGAATTTGAGCTCCAGGTACGGCCAAAGCAGCCTCAGTGCACCGGTGAGCTGCCCATCTCACCGGTGTTATCTCCAGGCACGGCCGAGAGCCACCCGTTGGGAAAGCCCGACATCATGACGGGCGAGATGCGAGCACGACAGCGCGACTCATGATGGGTACAGTCCCCAGCATGAGGTGTCAACGCATGAGAGATGCAATCCCCAGCGTGAAGGGTCAACGCACGAAGCACGGGGGACCAACTCCCCAGCATGAGGGGTCACCTTTCTGTACCCCTTTGGCGTGGCCGGGGAATGGCATTTGCCCCAGCCCGCGCTCGGACTCCACCCTCCTCTAACCCCCTCTGGCGTGGCTGGGGAATGGCATTCGCCCCAGCCACGCTCGGATATAGGGTATACAATTGTCTACGTATGTTGCTGCGTATCGCACAAAGCTGCTATCCTACTCAGTGGGATTGTTGATGCCGTAGCTGCTGTCCCACTTAGTGGGATTGTTCGCCTAGCATGTGCTGTCCACCGCTGCCCATTGCTACCCGGACCCCTGGGTATTCCGTGACACCCAGAGCGGGCGGACAAATAATGCCCCCCCTCGGGATCACGAGGCACCGAACTTGGATGATACGAAATTGGGGAGAATCCGGGAGAATGTATCCCTCTCTTGCTACGGCTTCTACCCCGAGGGTATTTCGTGACATCCAGAGCGGGCGGACAAATAATGCCCCCCCTCGGGATCACGAGGCACCGATCCTGGATGATACGAAACTGGGGAAAATGTATCCCTCTCTTGCTGCGGCTTCTACTACTACTCGGACCCCGGGCGGGATCGGCAAGAGGGCAGGGAGGAGAGAGGGCGGAAGATAATGCTCGAGGAGGAGGAGGAGGAGGAGGAAGAGGAGGAGGAGGATGAGGAGGAGGAGGAGGAGGAGGAGGAGGAGGAGGAGGGGGAGGGGGAGGAGGAGGAGGAGGAGGAGGACGACGACGAGGAGAGACGAGGAGGACGAGGAGGAGGAGGAGGAGGACGAGGAGGACGAGGAGGCGGAGGAGGAGCAGGAGGAGGATGATGAGGAGGAGGGGGAGGAGTTGGAGAGTGTAAGGACACGAGAAGTGTAAGATCGATAAAGACAATTGGGGACTGGGGGAGGAGAAACATGAGGCCGATGATGTTGAGGAGGAGGAGGAGGACGAGGAGGAAAAGGAGGACCAGTCTCCTTCCGTTCAGGCTCCCTCTTCACAGGCTCCTAGAAGGATTCATTTCTGAGAGCAGTGCCCAGTTGGGGGACAACCGCTTCAAGATCCTGAAGCGTACCAAAACACCATTCTCGGGACTCCAACGCCACGAATCAACCTGACTGTTGCGTCTTGACGATCCAGATTTGTGCCAGAACACCATTCCTGGGATTTCAATTCCGCGAGTCAACGTAACTGCTGCTCCCTAGAAATCCTGAGTTGTTCCAGCAAGCATTCCTGGTACGTTAACCATGGGAACCCGTGAATCTCTCGCAAATGTTAAAGACGAGTGTGCGCGGCGCTAAGGCGAGAACCGCATTCTGAAAAGATACCGCCCTCCATCCGTGGGTGACGAATGTGCGCGGCGCTAAGGCGATAGGCACATATTGAGAACGACCCGCCCTCTATCCGTGAAGCTCTTGCACCATTTTAAGACGAATGTTCGCGGGGGTGGGGCGAGAGCCACATGTTGAAAAGGAGCCGCCTTACATCCGTGAAGCCCTTGCACAGTTTCAAGATGAATGTGCGCTGTGTTATGGCGAGAGCCACATTTTGGAAGCGACCCGATTTCCATCTTTGAAGCTTTGGTCAATTTTTGAGCTTCAGGATGATGAATGGTGAGGAAGTCGCAGGCAAAACGCCTGGCCCGCTCTTTCGACCATCCTTGGGGTGCGACAGGGTGTTTTCTGTAAGGAATAAGAAAGAGGAGGAGGACGAGAGGACGAGGAGGAGGAGGAGGAGGAGGAGGAGGAGGAGGAGGAGGAGGAGGAGGAGGAGGATGATGCGGACGAGGAGGATGCGGCCGCGGCTCGCAGACACCAATGCGTATTGTAGACAATGCCTTTACCCTGACACTTTAATTCAATTGAGCTCTCCCCTTCTCTGCTCCCCTCCGGTAGACTGGGTGTCAAGACCTTCGCGCGACGCTGTTCTGATTTGGAGTTTCCCCATTGACACCATGGGTTATGCGTCACGCCCAACGCCCGACTCTCGCTCACAAATTCTTTGCGCTTTACTCGTTGCCCACGGGACGAGGGCGGTCTCTCTTGACGCGCTCAGACGCATTCACGACTTCGTATTATGTACTGCACTTGTTCGTTGATCAGTCCATGAGGCAGGTGATTTAGACACCTTCGCGCGGCTGGCCGAATAGGAGAAGACGCTGAATTGAGGCTCTGGCGTTCCGGCTGCTCCTTCGATCCGGGTCGGGGAGCCTATTCTTGGCCCAGGCTCGAACCTGGCCCAGGGAGTTTCTTCGTTACGTATCTGGCGTTCTTGATCGAAGACGCCTACGGCGAATCACCGCCGCCCCGCGTCTGTTGGAAACGCCCATGCGGCCAAACGTGGGGCCGAAGTCTGGCCAAGCTGTTGGACTACGTGTTTCCCCAGCCGTTGTGGAATCCCTCGGGGGAACACTTGGGAGAGGAAGAGAGGGAGGCGAAGGATGACGAGGAGGAGGAGGAGGAGGAGGAGGAGGAGGAGCTTGAGCTCGAGCTGTCGAGCGCCCCGCGCGTCTCGACTACAACTAGACCGAGCTATGTGTTCAGGCAATTCGAGCTTAAGATCCAAATCAGTTCGGCCACGATTCTGACGCCAAGGACGGCTTGATCCACAATGAAATTGGGCGAAGCACGGTTCAACGCGGCGTGACACGTTGAACTCAGCACAGCACGGCACAGCACGGCGCAGTACGGCACAGCCCGTTGCACGATACATCACGATCGTTATTTTGGAAAGAGCGTGTTCTACCGCTGCTGGCGGAAAACCGGGGGGGGTCACTACCGCAGTCCATCATGAAAAGAGGGGGGGGTCACTACCGGTTCGACCCCCCCCCCCTTCCGGAAAACCGGGGGGGGGTCACTACCGATTCGAATCCCCCCCCCTCCCCCCCCCCTCGAAAACCAGGGGGGGTGGGGTCACTACCGGTTCGAACCCCCCCCGCCCCCCTTCGCCGCCGGGCCGGGGAGAGTGGGGACATTGACACACTGCTG